TCTCCACCAACCTTCTGGAGGAGAAAGTCCACCTCTATTCAGATGGAAATCACTCACCTTGGAGTCCCTGCTACCTTTTTTGAGAGTATAATGAAGTGTCCCTACTCAGGTTCACACATTTACAACTCAGTTTGCATGACTGCATAATTTAGCAGCTGTTGTTGTCCCAGACTTGGTTAGTTACCTTCTTCAAACTGCACATCAGCTTTGGTTTTCAAATTTATCGCCACTCGTTATCTCTATATTACCTCAAGAAAAGCATCAGTTCAAAATGAAATAAAAAATATGAGCAAAAACATTTGAAAAAAATTAACTTGCCTTTTCTAGTAAGATAAAAAGTCAGTCTATCAATCCATATTATGGGTCTAACAAAAGATAACTTTAACTGAATTGAACTTTCTTTGGTTGGTAACCTGTAGATTTTTGGATCTCAATGCCCATCTCTGATTTATAGTGCAACACAGAAAATGGTCACCATTCTGCAAATGCAAACACAGCACGCAGCAGTGACCACTTTGTGAAAGGAAGCAATTTGTTACCAAACTGGTTCTTAAAACACAACCACCAAGAGAGAGGTGTTCTTTTTTTTAGTTAGCGTATAACAGAATATCATTGACCATTGTTTATTGATATTTTGAAATGCCACATGTAATAAATAAATAATACAACTTATTTGGTACCAACTAGGACTGCTCATGCTACTGTACAAATGCTACTCATGCAGCTTAAAATCTCATTGGATACTGTAAATGCTGCTGTAAATATAAAAAAGACTTAAAAAAAGTTTTGGGGAAAAGACTCAATGCAACTACGCAGGAAAAGAAATATAAGAGACATTTGCAGTAACAACAGAACACAACGGAAAACAACACAGGTGTGTTTTTGAACACAGGCTTTGTAGAGCAAAGAGTAACACACTGGGATGCAAATGTAAATAGCTGGGAATAGGAAAGATCAGCATGCTAGTGCCAAATACTGTGATTGCATGTTGAAAAAATGAGCAGAGATAATGTGAGCTGATAGTAAATGTGCGTGTGTGTGGCTGAGATTAAAGTCTGCTGCAATTGATAATGTGATGTTCATGAGGCGTCAACGCAACAACGCTACTGAATAGGAACCTTAAAGGCACAGTGTGTCTTCTGTGTCTGAAAACTGCTGCTTGCATCAGTTGTCAAAGAGACTGTTGTTGCTAAGGAAGGCTAGCCAGCCATAGTGGGAGAAAATGAATAGACTGAGGCAGAGTTGTAGATCTACAGAGTTGTGCAAACACGACAACCATACAAAATATGTAAGACTCAGAATACATTTACAGTCTATTTATAACACCAGGCTTATGCAAACACCATAAAAGCAATCTGTGATCCTGGAGTTTGGAGTCAACGCTGAATCAGGTCAGTGTAGATCCGTAAAACACTGGCAACGTATGACTCAGGACTGAGGCGTTGTGAGGGAGAGAGCTTCCTTAGCAACCATTGCTGGACTGATTGTCATCATGTGATGAGCTGATGCAGCCAAGCACTGAAAAAAAAACCAGAGTAACACACAGGAGGTGGTGTGTGTGTGTGTGTGTGAAAGAGAGAAAAAGCACCGCTGATGAGTCAGAGGAGGCTGATTCTGATGTAATCCAACAACCCCTCCCTCCTTCCAGTTCTCCCGTCTGGCTGTTCCTGGATATTCAGTTTGGAGTCTGCTTCCTGACAAAATGTTTGCAAATCAGTGAATGATCAGCAATGTTTTACTCACACACTTGCCACAAATTTCCCCTTTTTGGGAACAATTACAATTCTTAGTCAGGCTTTTATTGATTCATAGTGGTGAGAAGAATAGAAATACAAATAATAGAAAACAGGAATAATATCTTGTCCACTACAAAAAACATAGACTGTTCAACAACACCTAACAGTCTACACTCAATCCCATTCAGTTATAATTCAGTTTAG